CACATGAGCCACAATCCTGTTCGTTTAGTAGTTAGGCGGGTGAGCTTGCGTTATTGGGGCGAATGTCATTCTTCCCGGAAGAGTAAAGGAGGAGCCATAGTATTCCGTTGTAGTCATGTTGGAATGTGTTGGAATGATTAGGCATGGTCATGATCTCCTCGTGGCTTCCAGGGAGATTTGTTCGAAATAATATTTGTAATCATGATACTAGAAAATGCGTTGAGGCCCAAGGTGTGCGCCTCATTCGATCATCTCTAAGAGGGTTTCACATTTCTAGGCTGTGGTGCGGTTCTTCTCATTTGGACAGACTTGATCGCCCGATGGATTTCGATTACTGGGTTTTGTTCGACTTCTGTGGTCCTATTGTAATAGCCATATAACCAACTACCCGATTCAATACGTCGATGAGTGAAACATACAATTCTACCTAATTCTAAAGCTGATTCAGGCCTGTGACATTGTGAGACCCGAAGCTTGACGATGGATGATAGTGGATCATCTTCTGTAAGTACAATTGATGCTAAAATCAAACAACAAACCCATGTGAGGCCCATCCCCAGATAGGATGCATTCTAGGGGAATAAACCGAGGACAAATCATCTTACATCATGCTAAAGTGGAAAGAGTGAATATCATGGGCAGGATATATTAGTTCCTTCACAAGATGGGGGTTTCGAGGGTACAGGATTTGCCTTGTATAGGCTTAATCATACACGAAGAGTGCTGGAGGGGATGTTTGTTGCTGTCCGACCTCGAAATGCGTATAACGACCACCCAGGTGTCTTTGAAACTGGCTACCAAGACTAAGAAAAAAAAAACAAAAAGACTTGCAAGAAATCGACCTGGATCACTCCCATGCCAAGGGAGTACTATACCACTAAGCCACAAGCCCAGTTGATTAATAGCTGGTCGACAATTATGCAACATAAAGAAGATTTAAATTTACAACAATTGAGAATGAATATTCAAAGGTTTTATATTACGCCTCGATTCCTGAGTAATAGGTGTCCCAAGAAAACCAACCAAACATGTTCTCTGGAATGGACCCCTTATCACTAAGACGTGAACAAGACACACCGGGCTGATCGGCGTCAAATATAGACTATGAGGGGCTCATCTCTGTAGGTAACCATTCGAGATACTTGGCAACGTTAAATTCTCCAAGATGAAGATCCACTGGACATCCAGGGCCTTGGTCGCGGCTGCCCATATGCTCTTCAGGCTGTGATTGAGATGCCTTGTCCGGCTTTTCAACAGTCGCAGTCAGGACGTGGTGGGAAGCATGACCCTGAGCTAGTTTCAGGAAAGAAGACACTGTATGCTGAAGCCTGAAGCCTGGAGCATACAGTTGCTAGAAAGCGCATCTGTGATCTCATTGCTGCGAAATAGTCTACCGTGGCAGATGTCTGGGTACCATGGCTGTGGATGATGTTGCCGAATACCACGAAGAAAGGGGTGAACGGACAATATAGTTAGAAGTTGCATTATCTATATAATTAGTAACCGGTACCAAAAAGGGGGGCGTGGAGATATATGGACATACCATACTACCCAATTGTATACAGAGCTCCAATTTGACACCATGTATCTCAGAGTAGAGATAGCTTCGCGGACAGACGAAAGGAGTACAACGGACGAAGAATCCCCCCCCTGAGCAGAAGGGTGAGAGAATGTAAGATCCCACGGTCAGATTCGTCACATCAATTGCTTTTGCATCTCTAGAGCGATGTTGGCTTGCAAGTATCAATAGCAAAGCGGGCGACTACTTAGACAGCAGCTGAAGCCAGACCTGAAAAGATCTTTGGCCCTGTTCCTCAGTTAGGTGATCCCACTCCACGATAGAAACTCTGAGACTCAATATAATAGAATAAATTATAAAAGATCCAACAAAGTCAAAATTGACAGGAATCTTTGGCTTGCTTTTAGACGGGGCTAATGGGCAATTTAACGCCGGTGCATCACAACCAGCTATTGAATCTAATGGCTTGTAGTCGGCGTGAGCCCTGCCCTACGTCTCTTTGATTGGCTAGACATTATAATTCGTCAATATAGTTTTCTTTCACACATAACCTAGCACATACGACCATAGGGTGTGGAAAACAGGGCTTCCCGTCCGCTCAGCCGTACTTAAGCCACACGCCGGTGAGTTAGTAGTTGGGTGGGTGACCACCAGCGAATCCTCACTGTTGTATGTTTTTGGTTTTGTTTTCCTCTCACTTGAGGAGGAATGGAGTTGTCAAGGTTTATATGGTTATCCACCATCAAAGTGATAATCCTCAATCTTTTTCTAGGGGAGACCGACGGGATTTGAAAGAAATCCTAGTAGACAAGAGAACAAGTAAGTCATCGCATAAATACAACTGGAGTATGTCAGTGCTGATTTCCCGTTCGTTCTTCGATGCAGCACCGCTATGTCGCTCTCCTTCGAACACAGACGCGTTCCGTCAGGCAGAAGTCTAGAAACACCAAGGTCAGAGCTAATAGTGATATCATGTTAATATTAAGGGAGAGAAATTTATGTCAATGTTTCAGTTATCTTCCTGCTCTAAAAATCCAGGAGAATAGAGGGTAGCAGCCGCGCAGAAAATAGTCTTTCCGACACTTCTAAGCTTCATTGCTTGCCTTCATTTGTTTACCTAGACTCATTGACAGCACCGTCTCGGTTCTATCCGTTCAAAAGCCAGTGGGTTATAGTTGTTCAATCATACTCCATGTCACAATCCTACCTTCAAGTTGGGGCAATTTTTGCAATTAGTGTAGTTTTTCATGTTGGAGGAATCCTGGCAATTGATACAGCCTACCATTAACATTCGGCACAGTCCTTGCAGTTGGAGCACTGGGGTCATTTGTAGGCACATCTCAGCAGGGACATGGGTAGAACGAGTCCCGAGGGCGAAAAAAGAGTTTATGGGTTTAGGCCGCCGCCAGGAAAAGCTTGGTCGAACCTTGGAATCTAATCAATTACGAAGTCAGCCAACTATACTGAGATTCATACTATCGCTTAATAACTTCTGGCACATTTTTTTTAAAATTCCCCCTAGTTGTTTTTGAGGTGAACATATCGAACTAAGAATAAGGCCTCCCTAGGCCATAAACAGGAACCGAAGTTTTTGCTATGGTCTAGTAATAAAATAGCCTGTATTTTTTCCCACAGATCATATTTCTGACAATAAAGCAAATCATAGAGGAGCAAAAGAAGGGCCCAGCATAGGTTCAAAGCGAGCTAGCCGCTATCGCCCCTATGCTAGAACTGTTCCCCCGTTCGTACCTCTCATTCAACCTACATTGGGCGCATTGAAAATTACTGTGCAGAGGGTGTGTGTATATAATACAAAAAAAGAAAGATAAAAACATACAACAGTGAGGATTCGCTGGTGGTCACCCACCCAACTACTAACTCACCGGCGTGTGGCTTAAGTACGGCTGAGCGGACGGGAAGCCCTGTTTTCCACACCCTATGGTCGTATGTGCTTGATTGAGTGTGAGTAAGAATTATAGAATAAGAATAACTCTGTTGTATAAAAGTCATCAATAACCATAGAGATAAATAGTCGGGCAGCTCACTCTCTGTAACATTCAATGCTCTCTCTCCTTCGCTTCTCGTTGGCATCTATATTGGAGAGCCACAAAAATAACCCTTCGATAGCGCTCAAACTGTGTACAACAGGCCACATCTAGAGTTAAGAAGCAGTCGACCGAATACGCATCTATACCAATACATGGGTGACTTTCTACGGTCTGACCCTTTTTCATGTAATTCCATACCTAAGTCCTTCTAAATATTCCTAGGGGGACTTAAGGCATCCAGATAGACAGGGGTCTACAACTCTGCGCGGTGCCTATTTGTGACGTTAGACTAATATAACGACACAAGGTCTATGGTCACATTTCTGCAGTTGCTTTCGTTTACTTTGTTTTATTTTCTTTTATTTTTTGCTGGACGGTATGTGATATTATGGCCTTGCCACTACATATATTTCTCAATGTTCATTATTATAAGGGTGGGACGTATACATGTATGTAGTAGGTACAGAAGGACTTAGTGTCATTCGCTGCATTGGCTGCAATATATATTTAATCAGGAGGAAGGTCAATGTTCCCCCGAAATATATCTGAGCTATGGTTTACATGTTGGGCCATGAAATTAGTATTCTGTAACTTGCACCTATTACACGCAGCTTTTATTCTAAGGTCTTGCCTGGTTATTGGTTGCATTCCTAGGTGCTGTTTGAACGCCAGAATATAGTGCCTGTATTTGTTTACGTTAATGATGTTTATCTAGGCGTCGATCTTCATCCCAAGTGGGACGATAGCTCAGTTGGGAGAGCGTGCGATTGAAGTTCGCAAGGTCGCTGGTTCGATCCCGGCTCGTCCCATTAAATTTTTGCATTTTTTCACTGCTATGCATGAAAAGAAACATGGTTTAGCCGGACTTTTTTTTTTCTCAAAAAAAAAACCTAAGACTAGCCGGCCACTTATGCGGTCTTGTCATATCTTTTTGTTGGTCTTTTGGATGCTCTTTTCAGGTGTACAGAGTATACGAAGGCGGCAAAGAAACGCATGCAGGAGACTTTTCTATATATAACCTGCGAAATACTAACGAATCTCTCTCCCATTTGCTACGAACCTAGTTCATTCGCCGTTCATAGAGCATTCGTTATATCGAAACCAAGTCTGTCAACTTCGGCCGATCAAAATACTCCACAAAATACTCGAAGGTCCAGATGTCAGGCGGTTGCAGCGGCGACCCAGGGTCAGAATCAGTCAATTATTCTGCTCTAAAGAAATATAAGGGATTGCCATATATATTATAGTAAATATGTAGAGAAAATATTTTTTTTGGAAGATAAAAAACATGTATACATACATATATATTATATTGTATAGGGCCTGGGCTTTAGAAAGAAATTCCAATTTAACGAACATTTTGTTATATCTCAATTTAGTTACTAAGGTTTGCCTACTGTCTGGGTTATTCCGATAGATTATCTAGATTCATAATGTCAACCTGGGCCTCAATATACATCCCAAATGGGACGATAGCTCAGTTGGGAGAGCGTGCGATTGAAGTTCGCAAGGTCGCTGGTTCGATCCCGGCTCGTCCCATTTATTTTTGCTTTTTTGATTATTTTTTTTTGTAAATCAATCGATCTAGGTCTGTCATATATCTATCATACATGATGAACAAGCAAGGTGTGGAAACTGGTGGTTGTGTTGTGGCCAGAATTGCGCACCGAGATGGAAGGACGCCGACATGTTAACTTTTTTATTTATGGATGGATAGCTTGCTGTGTATGATGGCCTGCTATGTTGGGTTACGTGATAGTGAGATATTGGATAGTGCGAGAAAGAAGGAAATAAAAAGAATGTGGCCCGTTTGCTCATATAGATAAAGCATGTCGATCATTATACCTTCTTCATGATCTCTAATTCGATAAGTCACGCCCACCACTGCTCAAATATGACTGAGCATTATGCAGATGGGGATTTGGTGAATGGTTGGACTCCCATTGGTTATCGACCGGGTGATGAGTCTCGCTGTGCGGGAACCCGATGTCCCTTCTTCGTTTTTGGGGTGATAGTTCTACATGATAGCAGCCAGAAGGGAATTTCCGCTGAAGGAGGAAGGGCAGGAAAGGGGGCGCTGGCCAGATTGACTTTAGCACGGCCTCTTATAGTTTCCAATATTGGAAGGTTGTCCTGGTGAATCTCGGAATCGGCAATTTCTTTTTTTCATCCTCATCCAGCAAGTGTCCGTTAGTCGCGCAATCAAGCCCTTCACTATTTCGCAATTTGAAGATATACGTATATATGTGTGTACATGTATTATTTGATTCTAGCTAGTATATGATAAAACAAATCTGCTGGGGAATGGCAATCTTTGCCATGGTAGAGATATACCATCAGAACAACCTCCGAATCGGGCAACAGCATATCAGTCACGCAAATCACTGCAGACACAACAAAGAGCGTGCTCCAAATTCCTTCTCCACTGTTCCATCTCGTAATAACATGTCTCTCAACCAACGTTTCGCAGCATCTACATCCGGAGCCCCAAATTTCACTATGACAGAGCCTCGCACAGAAGCAGCAGTCCATGTTTTGACAGATTCACCTAAGTGCAAATCAACTTGTTCATGAGGTTTCCCATTTGCTCGAATACGCGGGAGATGGGAGAACTCTCCGAGAAAGAAGTCACCGAGAGTACGGAACATTGGGCCCCGGATGATGAGAGTACCAAAAACTCCGAGACCGTCCATCTCATTTTTATAGCTTGGCTTGGTAGACGATGTTTCATCCAGAACCAGACTATCTCGGATCAAAAGCTTCTTCGTGGTTCCTTTGTTTGGATTAGGAAGTGACCAAATCTCATTTCGACCTTTCCATCCAAAAAAATTCCATGCCTCGCCTATCGCAGTTCGTCCTTCGGAAACCCAGTCTAGGACTAGTGTACTGGACAAAGAATGGTGGACATGGAATATTTGACATTGCTCATACAAACTGTCTTTGAATGGCTGTACCGGGTCCGGTAACAGCAGGAGCGCTGCTCCTTCATCCACTGTGACGGTGAGGTTTTGGTGTGAACATATTGACTTGGATGGTGTCTTGTACACCTTCGTGCTTCCTTGCGTGAGAAGGGCTAGTCGCGACTTCGGCCGAACTCTGATGTTCAAGTCTACACGGTCGCCGGCGACCAGCCCGCCACCGTAACTCATCATAAAGACAAGGACAGCGCGGTCAGTTGGTCTGGATGGCGGCGACACAAGTTTCAGAGGATATGTGCATGAAAGTGTGGAAATAGAAGAGCCACAAAAGGCGTGAACTTCAAGTTGGCCGGTACCTGACTGGGGTTTCTGGGAAACCGCCATGGTGACTTTTCGCACAGATGAACTCCCACAACTTTGAGGGACAAAGTCAGGTTGATGGTTCCATTTTACTAGCAGTAACGAATGGTGGACTGCTAGAAATCGATTTGGAGTTCACAGGTGGAATTTGGGGACATCAACAGTAGAACCATAAATTGAGTCTCTTCGGCGAAAAGGACCTGACATACTCGTGGGCTTCTACTTACCATCGGGAAATTTGTCGGTGGAGTTTAGCCTTTGATAAAAATTGGCATGGCAGATTGAACATAAGATTTTGTCAACGTCATTTGCCGCTTGCGGACAACGATGGCCGATAGGTCGTACCTTGAAGCCCTCCCCCACAACTTTTGTTGGCCGAGTGGCGGTTAAACCGGCGATGACCAACGTGACTGTTGGTATCTACGTATTACCCACTCTTAAAAGGCCAAAGCGCCTATTTTATATGCAGGGCTGATCGAGTTCATGCGTAAATTCATGACTAAGTCCCTTCCCACTCCATTTGCCGAGTTCTTGAAAAAGATCTACATTCCGACTTGCTACAAACGGGCATTTGAAGTTCACCAGTTAATATCAGCTTGTATCGCGCTTACAAGGAAAAGTTGACTTCAAATTGCGAATCGTGATGCAGTTGATAGCCCGCGAGGTATGGCGGATGAATAGTTTGATCTTTTGTTCCGACAACTAACGAACAACCTAGTTGGATAAATTGGTCATTGCCCAGACTGGGCTTTTGGCCCAACGACGACTAGCAAGAGGAGTGAAATTAAACTACCCCGAAGCTACGGTACCTGCAATCTTCATCCCTTGGAACCCTGGAAGGTTCCAAAGTTAGTGATATCAATGACTATGTACTAATTATAGAGTAACTAGGCATTAATCACAAATGTGCTGCAAGAAGTATGTATTGGCCTCGGTTCCAGCACACCACCTAGCTCTAACCATTCCTAGATGATGAGAGATGGCAAGCACACCGCATCGGAGCTCATGTCTATCGGGAAACATATCCTTGGCCGCCGGCATGTCCTTCCGGCCGTGATATCAACCCTTACAGTTCTGCAGATTGAAGGGACTTTTACGACAGGAACGCATCTAGTTACTGTCGATCAACCCATTAGCAGCGAGAATGGCGATATTGAGCTGGCAATGTATGGCAGTTTCCTTCCCATTCCACCGGAGAGTTTATTCCCCTCATATCCAGAATCCGAGTACGAGCCTTTGAAGATGCCCGGAGCAATCTCACCTGGTGAAGGAATGATCGAGCTCAACCCCGGCAGGAAGCGAACTCAATTGAGGGTCACGAACAAGGGTGATCGGCCAATTCAGGTATTCATCCTTTATTATACACACAGTTCGAAGAGATATACTGATAAGCTTTTGATTGTAGGTCGGCTCTCACTTCCACTTTATTGAATCAAATCCGGAGCTGGATTTTGACCGGATCAAAGCTTATGGCTATCACCTCGACATTCCCGCTGGGACGTCGACTCGTTTCGAGCCAGGCGATATCAAGACTGTGAATTTGACGCAGATCAGTGGTCTCAAAACTATCAAGGGAGGAAGCAGTATTGCGACTGGAACCATTGACCTCTCTCATACCAACGCGGTACTTCAACGTATCCAGGAGGAAGGCTTCCGACACACCCCCGAGGACGTGCTCATTAATATACAAAAGATAGAGCCATACAAGATGGATCGACTTTCTTATGCCTTGATTTATGGTCCGACTGTCGGTGACTCGGTCCGTCTCGGCTCGACAGATCTCTGGGTGATGATCGAAAAGGACTACACAGCACACGGAGACGAGTGTACCTTTGGAGGCGGTAAGACTTTGCGCGATGGAATCGGACAAGCTGCTGGGCGTGCAGATGATGAGTGTGCGGATCTGGTTTTGGTCAATGCATTGGTAATTGACTGGACTGGTATCTTTAAAGCTGATGTTGGAGTGAAAGACGGGGTTATTGTGGGAATTGGAAAAGCTGGTAATCCTGATGTGATGGATAATGTGAACCCGGCTCTGGTGATTGGATCCAACACGGACATCATTGCTGCAGAGGGGAAAATCGTCACTGCTGGTGGTATCGACACCCATGTTCACTTTATTTGTCCGCAGCAGGTTGAAGAGTCTATCTCGTCGGGTATCACAACCATGTTTGGAGGAGGCACTGGTCCGAGGTAAGACCACAAGTATTGATATTGCGGTGTCTGGATCTAATATTTTGTCCAGTACGGCCTCCGTTGCCGCCAATTGCACCCCGAGCAAGACCTATATTCGACAGATGATGCAAGCGTTAGACACGCTGCCAGTCAATTTTGGCGTCATTGGAAAGGGCAGTGATACTGGCAAACCCGGTCTTCATGATCAGTGTAATGCAGGTGTCGCTGGCCTCAAGCTGCATGAAGACTGGGGATGCACTCCCTCAGCAATCGACTCTTGTTTAAGGTAAATGAATCTTATTTGCTTGATCATCGCGAGTACTAATGCCCATTACAGTGTCTGCGAAGAACACGACATTCAATGCCAAATCCACAGCGACTCTTTAAACGAGTCAGGGTTTGTTGAGCGAACGGCAGCTGCATTCAAAGGAAGGACGGTTCACGCATACCATATCGAAGGAGCTGGTGGTGGACATGCGCCCGATATGATTTCTCTCGTACAGCACGCCAACGTCCTTCCTAGCAGTACAAACCCAACCAAGCCATACACCTGCAACACAGTTGACGAGCATCTCGATATGGTCATGTCTTGTCACCATCTATCCAAGAACATCCCCGAAGATATTTCGTTCGCGGACAGCCGAATTCGTGCAGAGACGATTGCTGCAGAAGATGTCCTCCACGATACTGGTGCGATTAGTATGATGTCATCTGATTCCCAGGCAATGGGACGATGTGGAGAGGTTGTTCTTCGCACCTGGAATTTGGCTCATAAAAACAAGGTAGAACGTGGCCCGCTGCCCGAGGATGAGGATACCGGAGCGGATAATCACCGAGTCAAGCGGTATGTCAGCAAGTATACCATCAACCCAGCCCTGGCGCAGGGTATCAGTCACGTTGTGGGCAGTGTTGAGGTTGGAAAACTTGCCGATTTGGTGATCTGGGAACCTGCAAGCTTTGGCACCAAGCCATTCCAAGTTCTCAAGAAGGGGTTTATTGCTTCGGCTCAAATGGTATGTCTTCCCTATACTACACCTTAGATGGATATAAGTCAAGTGCTAACAATTGTTATAGGGTGATCCAAATGCATCGTAAGAACCACTCTGCAATCTATGCTCTTCTCTCCTGCTCTCTTGTCATGGATACTTACTGTCGCAGGATTTCTACCGTTCAGCCCATCATTGCGCGACCGATGTTTGCAGTAAGTTTAATCTAGTCCTCACCATGTCCATAAAATATTCCGAGCTGACCACAATCTAGCCCCTTCTACCCTCAAGTAGTGTGATGTTTGTTTCCAGGGCCGGCATGGAGAACGGTTCCGTTAAATCCTACGGCCTGAAAAAGCAGATCGAAATTGTCAAGAATACTCGCACGGTCACTAAGCTTGACATGAAATTCAACAATGCCACGCCAAAGATGGAGGTTGATCCTGAAGCCTTTGTAAGTTCGCGCTTTGGGTTTCAAACCTTAGAATTAGACACTGATCGTTTATAGACGGTTATGGCCGATGGAGTGCACTGTAAAGCAGATGCGGCTACCTCGCTTCCACTGACGCATCAATATTTCATATATTAGCCCGAAGTTTGTAAAGGCTCTCTGTTGAGTTTGTTGTTATATATCAGGACTTTGTATATAACTTTGGATTTAATGTGGCTGGGCAGAACGGGAGCCCTATTTTCCATGTCATTTCACTGTATGTGCTGGAGTTGCCCTAGAGCTCAAAAACACTTGCATCAGAAAACCCCAAAGGACGGATGGAAATGAAATAAAAAGAAGTCTCACAGTAGGAAAACCGGAAAATAGTTAAACTTGAATTCCCCAAGATAACTATGGAAAAACTAGAAGCCAAAAATAAACGACAAAACATCAGTAAGATTGACTACATAACCAAAACCGAACAGAAAAACCGCAACGGGTATAGAAAGCACTTTCATTGATCTCATTGCCTCACAGGACAGGGATCTCACGACCACCCTTCCATAGGCAGCGGCACACCCTCCCATTCATTTCCCTGCGTCACAGGGGCACTGACTTCCTCCTCACAAGTCCCACCGAGCATCTCCTCACCAGCACCCCAGCCCATAGATTCAAGTTCTCTCACGAAGAAATCACGCTCTTCTTCCATCATAGAGGCACCTTCATCACCACCCATGACATCCTTGTACTGGCGCAGATGCCACCAGTGCGTAAGGCCACGGAGCGCCTGTTCCAACGGCAAAGCCTCTTCAACCTCAGCATCGACGTCAGAGCCAGCGAGCCAGTCGTCGCGTAGCTCGGGACGGCAGTACAGGTAGATAGCGGTGATGACGCGCATGTTACTCTGGCGCCATTTGCGGCCGCAATAGGGGACTTGGGACTTGAAGAGTTTGAGGGTGTAGAAGCGAAGGTGTGGGTCTGGGATTTTGAGACCTTTGCGGAGGATGTTGCTTGATTTGTACTGCACTAGTAGCAGGCAGCGGTGGGCTTTGTTGCGCGTGATCTTTTGCATGACGTGTAGGTAGTTGATGGCGGAGAAGAAGTTGCGGAAGGAGAATACTTTGATTGGTTCTTTGGGTAGGGGCGCGGTTGGGTAGCCTAGTTCGTCCACTTCGGGGCGTGTTGGTCCGTTGAGGATATCCGCTAGGGATTCCTCTTCGGAGAGACCTGGCATGCTGCCGTTTGCCGTTGGATCCATGCGGTGGCGGGCGATTGGGGGTGGCATGGCTTCGTCTTCGCTTTCGGTGTCGCCGCAGGAGCTTCCTTCGGTCTCCAGGGGGAAGTCTGTGTTACTTTGACAGAAGTGGAAGAAGCTGAATATTGTGTTAGTGGGTGAGCTAACTTAGGGAATGAGGTTGAGTGACATACGATAA